CCTTTGTTAGCTCTAGTACTATAGCCCTTCGCTCCTTCCTCCTGCGACGGAGCAAAGGGCTATACTATAGGATGAGTACGTATACGTACGTATAACCCAACCATGCAAGCTGTGTGAATAACGTCAATATACAATATTCTAACCCTAGCAATACCGTTTCTTGGAGCTAACGTACGTATGTAGTAAGTGTTACGAAAACCCAGACCCTCTCATAACTTAACGTTAACGATGAAAATAACACATTTACACAAATAATTGTAATTATAGTGATATTATATTTTATATTAATGAGTAAAATGTGTGTTTTTCATGAAAAATACATCAGAAAACTTACTTATCTACGGATCATAAACCATAATAAATGTTTACAAATGGCGTTTGTTCCCTTGTTTTGAATGTTTGTTGAGTCAAAGCAAATCAAAGCAGCCAATCAGAGGAGCCCAAAACTCTGCAATGGATATAACGTGTAGGGAAAAAAAATTCGCCCCCCGGGCCGTGGTAGTAGGCAGAGTGATATGTGACACTACCAAGCACGACCTGACGTAAAAACATGACAGTGCCACTCGACATTGTGACGCGTGACGTTATCAACCATCATAATCTGACGCAGAAACATGGCAGTGCGACTCAACATTGTGACGCGTGACGTTATCAAACGCTTCATGATATGACGCAGACACAACGGTGCCTGTCGACATGGTGACGCGTGACGTTATCAAACGTATCATGATCTGACGCAGACACGACGGTACCTGTCGACATTGTAAGCGTGACGTTGTCAAACGTATCATGACCTAAGGCAGATACACGGCGGTGCCTGTCGACATTGTGGGCGTGACGTTATCAAACGTATCATGATCTGACGCAGACACGGCGGTGCCTGTCGACATGGTGACGCGTGACGTTATCAAACGTATCATGACCTAAGGCAAAGGCATGGCGGTGCCTGTCGACATGGTGATGTTGGACGCTGCTGACGACGAGGCTTACATATGCCCGTGAACGTCAGGTAGATGAACGGATTCACTGCGCTTTCCATTGCTGCTAGAAGCACGAAGATCACGACGTATCCGGCTGCAAATGACCATAGAATATTTTAAAATGATAACCAACTCGTCCAACTAGCAACTGTTACATTATACGTCCTATTTTAACGTTCCGTTCGATGTAAGCAGACGTGAAAAAAATCGCCATTCCTACACAGCTTATGGTGCGCATGAAAAGCCGTTTGGCTTACAATAGCAAATTGACAACTCGTTAAAACCAATCTTATCAGCTCAATGTTTGCCGATGTAATTAGTGCTAACACTAAGTATTTTTTCCTAGAAAAATTCCAACGAAATCTTTACAAATATACACTTCGGGAAACACCTGGCCCAATGAGATTAACTAGTTAATTGTCATGCTCGGTGGCATTTAGGGTAGAAAGCGTCGGCGAAGCTGAGAAGTGTTGAACAGGTCTCACCCTCTTCGTTACTTTCGTACACAGTACGCTGTAGCGACATGTAGAGAACGCCGAGGAAAAATGGCGACCAGCAGATGACGTGGCACGTGACGACGGCCAGCGTCAGCATCACCGTCCTCTTCATCGCCCTGCCCATCGTGCCGTCGCAGGCCGTCGCATGGCCGCCGTTCGTGTCGCCGCGCGTCGCATTGCCGACGGCCTCGAACGTAACGCACTCGTGCATGACGCGTGGCGACTCGGTGCCGCTGTCCAGCGAGCGAGAGTTGGTGAACACGATCGACACCCGCCTGAGCGTCGAGCCGCCCTGCTCGCTCACGCGCACGCCGCGGCGGATCGTGCAGCAGATGCGACCGTAGCAGAAGAGCAATAGGGCTAGCGGGAGGACGTACACGGCGGCGGTGAACCAGAGCACGTAGGCGAGTTCTCCCCATCGATGCGCAAACACCGCCCAACAGTCAGTGACTGCGCCACCGTCGGCCGTCGGCCACGTGTGCCGCCGGAAGATGACCGCCTGCGGAATGCTGAGCAGGACCGACGTCGCGTAGGCGACGGCGACCATGGCGCGACCGTGCCGCAGCTTCCAGACGCTCTTCGTCCACGACGACGCGCCGCAGATGGCGAGGTAGCGGTCGATCGCCATGGCAACGAGCATGCACGTCGACAAGTACATCGAGTAGATCTGCGCGTATTTGATCGCCTTGCAGAGCACGTCGCCGCCGTGGAAGCGGTACGTTATCTCCCAGCCAAGCTGCGGCAGCGTCTGCAGGAAGGCGACCTGGAGGTCGGCGGCGGCAAGGTGCGCGATGAAGAACAGCATGCGCGTGAGGCGCTTGTGTCGCACGCAGACGACGAGCAGCACGAGCGCGTTGCCGACGACGCTCGTGGTGAAGAGCAGCGCCAACACGGCCACCTCGATGCGAGCCACACGCTCGTCGCGCGCTTCCTGCGGACCTGCGTCAGCGCTGCCGTTACGGGTCATGTTCACCGAATCCAGTGTCGCGATTACCGTCATGTCGAAACTAGCGTCTGTCGACACGGGACACATATACGGGGTTTACTAGCGACCCAACCGACGAGAGCTACGTAAATTGCATCCACGCGAGTGCGAAGAATCTAGTTAATGTATTCGCCGAGCGAATCAGAGCGCGACTAGTCGCAGCGACATGCGGGCCAAATTCTAGGCGGCGTGGATTAGCGGTGGCCAGATGCGAACGGTGGGACTCACGCTGGGAAAGTGATGTGGCGCGTACCGACGAGAGAGAAGCCATGCGGGCTACAGCTGCTGCCTCATAATGCGGCTTCACGCGGGAGCCTTGACTTCCGGATTCAGGTTTTATGATCTCCGAGAGCCAGATTGTTGACGGCGCTCTACTGACCCCGGACTGCTTCCGCGCGAAATCGATCTCACCTTACCGTCGATTCATCAATGCTCGTCAGCTGACCTATCAACGCATCGTGGGCGTGGAGGATGAGGTTGTGTTGGCAAGTGTGTTTGTTGAATTTCGCTCTTAACGTGATGCGCTTGTTTGTTTTTGCAGCGGGCCGTGAGTACGTGATTTACGATGCGTTGCGGCAAGAACTGCCATAATGTTTTCCGTCGCACATGTGAACTGTCACTGCCGAAAATGCACACCCTCCATGTGATGCATGCGCTAACATATGGCTTGTTTGTAATGCACTTCCACGAATATATACGTCGCCAATACTGCGCAAATGCTACCACAATAGCGGCAGCAGTAGAGGCAGCAATAACAGCAGCAGCAGCAGCAGCAGCAACAGCAGCAGTAGCAATAACAATAAGAGCAACACTAAACACGACAACGACGACGATGACAACAATACCGAGACCTAATACGACAACACACGTACTTCGTGGAATGAAACGCGCACAAAAATAGTGGGAATCGAAAAGGAGGATGCCACAGACAGATATTTTGGATTTTAGATTTTTTAACTCTTACCACGAATCGAAATCAGATCTTGTTAATGACACGTGCAGTATTGTACGTATTGTATTGTGAGAACTGTGAGTATTGTGTATTGAGTATTGTGTAAAAAAGTCCATTTCAGGTTGCACTTCTAATGAAATGGATGGTGAAAGGGCAGCTGCCTCACTCATGTTTTAGGGGAAAATAAGTCGCCCAATAACCTTAAATAACCATAACAGATCTGACAACAGAGCAAAATGATCTCTTCAGTCTAACGTTCTCCTACGTGGGGTATATTCTTCAATCGTGAAAAAAGGTGTTTCCGCGTGTTATTCCAACAAATTCCCCCCCTCATGTATGCAGGGTGCGGCTCTGATGACACGCACACCAATTCATTTAAAAATTATATGCGTTTCCACGATAAAGGTAAGATATTCCTGCCGTTCTAACGAGTGGAGGCAAAAGTAAGCATGTGTGGTATTTCTTCACAAGAACTTTATTCACAATGGACGTCTCATCGCGTAACAATTGAGTTGCGCACAATGTATAACAAGATGTTCGAAATGTAAGCCAATTACGAATAATAAATCCATCACCACCAAATCCATCGAATGAAAACAACAAGATCGACAGTGAAAGTGAAAGTCACCAACAATTTCCTAACTGGCCAAGAACCGAAACAATGCAAGTGCCAACTGAAGAGGACTCTGTCGTACGACATTTGGCACTAATGCGTATCGAGATCCCTCTAAGCTACCCCCGCCTTCCTACGTGTTAAAATGATTCTACTTTACAATGATGATCACATCTATTTACTAGACGTTCGAGTCGGAACGCAGCAGCGTTACGTGGTTGTTCACGAGTCTTGGGAGACGCTTATAAGCTGAGTATACCACACGTAATGCATAAAACGAATTTGAACTACGCGCTCTCATTTTATTTGGCATTACGTACACGGGAAACTTTCACAGGATTCATAAATATACACTGTATAGTCCGACCAGAAAATACTGTCATGATGCAACGCGTCACTTTCCGTTACTACGCAACATACTGCAATAACAGAAATAAAAAAAACTTCTGTGTAACTTACAGTAGACTTAGACTCAGTACACTTGTAGTAAATTGCAATAAAAAATAATCAAGTGTAAGTATGCCTATGGTGTCAGTATACACGCACATAGCACTTTACGGCATATATATATATCAGAAGTAGATAATAGGTAATTCCCTATTATCTACTTCTGATGTATATATATATATATCCAGCAAGATATGTGCCTTAACATAACGACGGTAGACTAAAATCTATTAATGATTGGCAGCTAACCGGCTAGCCGGCAGTTGGGAATGTCATTTTACATTGTGGTTAGTCACTTTACATCGATATTGATTAGACTGTAATTAATTAAAATTATTACAGTGAACCTATAAATTGCACCACATGAGTCGAATAAAAGCTTTGCTATTTTGCTCGTGATGAAAAATATGGCGTGATCATTTTCTATACTTCCCACAGCATCAAATACTTTTGGTAAGTTAGCTTACCACCACAAATTCCTACTAATTTCCTCTTATTCTTTAACCCACACCTCCTCTCGTGAATGCATGAGTATTACTTAATCTTACTTATATAAACTCTACACTATACTCTATATCACTATAACGCATGCCTCTCACTATGACTCCCAAACGATTTCAACATTTTTTTTCTACAATTACCCCTTCATTTTCCCGAGCGGCCAACAAAACAATTTCACATAGATATGACTCGGCAACTTTGCCATAAGCTCGCATAATACTCCAGATTAACAACTAGTGATTAAATTACGCTGATAAACAACTGCCAACATATATGTGCGCATCGTTTGTGAAACCTCCGCCAAGCGGACGAGAGAATAGGCGCCAATAGTAGCTGCAAATAACGCTGGGTGAATCACCAATGCAATTGTTCCGCTACACCTATTCGTATATTTTGATACTCAAAATCAGTCGTTTGTTACTCATGTTACTTGCTTCGGAAACCCGACGACTGGGGACAATCACGTAACGCGATACACTACACTACGATTATTATGACATTTTGTTGGTATTAGTTTGAAAGATACGAGAATTTTCTCTCTAAACCGAGGCCAATACTCTTGCCTGCAGCACGAGCCATCGCACGACGGTTGCCTACGATTATCTGTACGCAAATTCTGACCAGAATTATACAAAAGATGTAGCCTGGGTTGGAATCCAAGTGGCTAATGCACGCTCTCTACCTTCCCGAGCAATATAAGCATACAACATGCACTCACTGCACACGTTTATTCCCACTCCGCGAGTAAGTATATCTGCTTTTTTTTTTACCGTTGTTGATCTTGTAGATAAGAACAGATGATAAATAAACAAGTAAAATTTGAAACATTTTTGAGTATAGATGTCCGATACCGGTGACAAACTCTCGTGTCCGATATCCCAAGCTCTACAGTAAGGTATCTACTTTTCGTAGTTTCAGTTTATCCAGCGGGTTACATTAGGATATGAGGGTACTGTGCAAATGCACAATAACTCATTGAATCACGCAGAAGGAAGAAGTTCCCAATGCAAGTTTTCCCACTGCCTGCATAACCATCGAACTAACGGCCGACATTTAAAACTCACCAACGCATTAATAATAAGTTTAGTCGGCTGTAACACGGCAGCAATATATTAAAATCATGTGCGTACCTGACTACGAAAATAATCTTCATTCCGCATCACAGTTGTTATATTAATACATTTTCATATATATACATACTGACTTCACTCGACCTGCTGTTTGCTAATGAGTGACTGAGTGCGCACGCAGGACAAGTGACCTGCGGCTATTACATCACCGTAAAGTAATCTCTAGAAAACACCTCGGTCATGCCTCTGCTCGCTGCACTTCAAAGCAGCCAGCTTGCGGCGTTATCTATCACACACCACACATCGTGCGCGACGATTCGTTTATTGCTGAGTAACTCTTGAATAACGGAGTGCGTGCATTTTCGTTGTGCCGCAATTACCTATCCCGCAATTACACTTACAGCTCCCGACCGCTGTCCCCGCCCGTCGCGGGACGATCGGACGTGGGCGCACTGCACCGATTAAAGGCCCGTCTCCACACACGCGGCGCGGCACGGAACGCCACAGAAACGGCGCCGTTCACCCCTACTGGCAAAGTTCAAATCTATTATATCTTAAGGCGCTGTCTCCACTGACACGGCACGGCGCCAGCCCGGTTTCACGGCGACGGCGAAAGTCAAATGAGTTTGACTTTTGTCGGATGCCATGTACGGAGAAAGACAGTTGAACCAATCAATGCGATTCTTTTTTATCACGTGTTCTGCTCGCGCCACCATCAGCCAATGGAAAACAAGCACATGCATGATTTCTAATCACTGAACCCGAGTGAACACAATGCGCTCAGATACAATGCGCTAAATCACAATGCATTTTTTTTCAGCACAACGGCGCTGCGTTTTGCTGTGCCGTGCCGTGCTGCGTGTGTGGAGACATAGCTTAAAGCGTGCAATCCCGCCCATGTTGCGCCGCTAACATGACGTCTCCTTGGCCTCGCACGGCGCCTCCGAATCGAGATCTGGGGCAAACTTGACGCGCGGCGCCGTGTCCCTGCGCTGGCGTGCAATCGGCGGCACCGCGCCGTGCTTGTCGTCCTCGCCAGGGCCAGGCATCATCACGCTCGGTGCGCTGAGCGACGATGCCAGCACACCCTGCTCCCACACGCTGGCCAGCAACCGCGGCAGCTGCGCGCGCGTGTCGCTGCGCTCACCCGCGGCTCCCAACCTTTGACCTGCGCTGCCGCTGGTCTGGTGGTCATCGATGCACGACCTTTGACCTGCACCGCCGCTGGTCTGGAGGTCGTCGGCGCACGACCTTTGACCTTCGGCGCTCACACCCCCAACATTCTGGAGGTCGTCGGTGCGCAACCTTTGACGCTCGCCGCTACTAGCGCCGCTGTCGACGCGGTCTCGGGAGTCGACGACCGTGTCCGTCGTTGACTGAAGACTGGCCTGGTGCATCAGCATGCCGGCCGGCGGCCGCGAGTTGACGGTGTTGCCGCCCTGCTGGTGGAACTGGAGCAGGCCGAACTCGAGGTCGACCGTGCCGAAGTCGAACGCGACCCCGTCGTCGTCGCTGCCGGCCGCCGCCGCGTCCTCGTTTAGCTCGGTGATGTCGCTGACCGCTGACACACTGCGCACATCGTCGAGGCTCGCCGACAGGTTCTCCGAGTCGCGGTGGATGCGCCGCTGGATGAGGCCCTCGAGGATGCGGTAGTCGCGCTCCTCAGCATCCCGCAGCACCTCGGCAGCGGCGTTCCCGCCCGCCGACGCCGGCCCACCCACCGTCTCGGTGGTCGGGGCGTCGAGCGAGGGGCTCGCGGGCGGGCTCTCGGGGCTGCCGACGATGGTGAGAAGGCACGACGTGTCGATGTTGTCCGTGATGCTCGTGTAGTCGTGCCGCAGCTGGCTGAGCAGCGTCGTCACGTTCACGTTGAACGGCGTCTGCGCGCGAGCGCCCAAGCTGTCCGCGCGCACCATCGCCGCCGGGGTGGCCCCGCCCGCTGCAGCCGCGGCCGCGGCGGTTGGGATCGTCACGGACAACTCGAGCAGGTCGGCATGCGGCGGCGACTCCTGCTCGCCGTCCGCCGGCTGCTGCCTCGCCAGGCGGCGCTGCAGTAGGCTCGGCCGGCCGGGACCGCGGCGCGCCGGCACGTCCAGGTAGGGGGCGCCGGCGATCGCGCTGCGCGATCGCGCCGACACGGAGCGGCGCAGGCCGCCGCCGCCGGACGGCATTGACTGCCGGAGCGGCGTCGGAGTCTTCCCGCTCGCCGCGAGATCTGATCCGGACGACCAGGTCGCGGTCAACGTGGGCTTCTCTGCGGGCTCTTCCTGCGCTGCCCACCTCGCGCCATCTTCCTCCAGCGTCTGCTTTGCGTTGAAAGCACCGTCAGAGGCTGCGGCGACGACGTCTGCGGCATAGCGAAATCTCTCCTCATCCTCAACAGTGCGATCTAAAAATTGCAGGCAACACACTGTTACAGAGGTGCGGTGGTGGCTAAAAATTGCAGGCAACACACTGTTACAGAGGTGCGGTGGTGGCTAAAAATTGCAGGCAACACACTGTTACAGAAGGCGGTGGTGGCTAAAAGATTGACAGGCAACACTACATGTTTACAGATGTGCGGGTGGTGTGCTATAAACTGCAAGGCAGATCACACTGTATACCAGAAGTGCAGATGGTCGGCTAAAAACTGAGACAGCACACTGTTATCAGAGTGTGCGTGTGTGGGCTAAAAAATGAGGTCAGACACTATGTACAGAGTTGCACGGGGTGGCCTAAAACTGCAGGCAGCCCACTGATTACAGAGGTGGCGGTGGTGGCGAAAACTGCAGCAGCACACTGTTACAGAGGTGCGGGTGCTCGGCTAAAATGACAGGCCAGCACACTGTTACAGAGTGCGGTGGTGGCACTAAAAATCAGCAGCACACTGTTACAGAGGTGCGGTGGTCGCTAAAAATTGCAGGCAGCACACTGTTACAGAGGTTCGGTGGCTGAAAAAAAAGCAGCATACTGTTACAGAGGTGCGCTGATGGTCTAGAGGATCGCACATTTGCCTTCAGGCCGAAAGCTCTATCGTTCGAGTACGAGCGTGACTACTACCATTCCGTGATTTAGTAATCTGATGTAACCGTAATCTAACAGTACGGGGGAGGTACCACCCCTTCTCTGCTACAGCTGCTTACCATGATCTACAGGTAGGAGGTACCACCCCTTCTCTGCGACAGCTGCCTTACCATGATCTAACATGTACGAGAGAAGGTACCACACTTCCTCTGATCGCAGCTGAACTTACTCATGATCTACAGTTACTGAGGAGCGTACACCCTTCTGCTGCTACAGCTGTTTACATGATCTAACAGTCGAGGGAGGTACCACCCTTCTCTGCTACAGCTGACCCTTACTATGAATAAACGTACGAGAGGAGGTACGACCCCTTCCTCTGCCTACAGATGGCTTACATGATCTAATCAGTAACGAGGGATGTACACCCTTTCTCTTACAGCTGCTATATTTTTCCAGTGAATCTGACATACGAGGAGGGTACCACCCTTCTCTGCTACAGCTACTTCACACCAATCTACAGTAGGGGAACCAACCTTCTCTGCTACAGCTATTATCCGTGAACCTAACAGTAACGGGGGAAGTACGCACACCTTCTCGGTTACAGCTGCTTAATATTAAGACGAGTACGAGGGAATTACATCACCTTTCTCTGCTACAGCCTATCTTACCACAAATTTAACAGATACCGGAATGTACAACACCTTCTCTTGCTACACTACTTACCACAATCTAACAGTACGAGGGAAGGTACCACAACCTCTCTGCTAAGCTATTTACCACAATTAAACAGTACGAGGGAGGGTCCACACCTCTTAGCATACTGCTACTTACCGCGGGGCATATCTAAACAGTAGAGCGGAGGATACACCACCTTCTTTGCTACAAGCTAATCACCGTGATCTAACAGTACGGGAGGTACCCAACCTTCTCTGCTACAGGCTAATCTTACCAAATTACAGTAGAGGAGGTTACCACAACTTCTCTGTACAGCTACTTATCTGATCTAACAGTTAGGGGAGGTACCATTCCTTCTTTGCTACAGCTATTATACACAATCTAAAAACAGTACGAGGGATGTACAACACTCGGCTACAGCACTAATACGTTGAATTGGACAGGTACGGGATACACCAAACTTCTCTGCTACAGACGTACCGTGATCTAACTTACGGGGAGGTACTATCCACTTCTTGTAACAGTACTTTAACCGTTGATTTACAGTACGAGGGTGAGTACCTACCCCTTCTCTGCTACAGCGACTTACCATAGATCACACAGTACCAGGAGTAACACCCTCGTGCCTACAGCCTAACTTACCGATGATCTAACAGTACGGCGGAGTACAACCCTTCTCTGCTACAGCTACTTAACGCTGACTTAACAGGTATTGAAGGAGGTACCTATCCTCTCTGCTACGCTGCCTTCCACAATCCTAACAGACCTGAGGGAGTACACACACCTTACTTTGCCTACAGCCTACTGTACCGTGAATTAATTACTGCGGAAGGTACACCTCCTTCTCAGCTACAGTCTACTTTACCATGATATACAGTACGGGAGCGATACCAACTTCTTCGCTACAGTACTTACCGCTGAATCTTAACATTACGGAGGGATGTGACATACCCTTCTCTGCTAAGCTACTTTAGCCTGATCTAAACAGGTTACGGAGGGGAGGTACCACACCTCTCTGCATACAAGCTACTGACCGTGAAGCTAACAAGAATGAACACCACAATTCTACGGGGAGGTATCCACCCTTCTTGCCTACAGGATCTTGACCAAATGATCTAACAGCTACGGGGAGTACACCCCTTTCTTTGTACAGCTACTTTACATATCTAACAGTACGGGGGAGGTACCACCCCTTCTCTGCTACAGCTACTTACCATGATCTAACAGTACGGGGGAGGTACCACCCCTTCTCTGCTACAGCTACTTACCACAATCTAACAGTACGAGGGAGGTACCACCCCTTCTCTGCTACAGCTACTTACCACAATCTAACAGTACGAGGGAGGTACCACCCCTTCTCTGCTACAGCTACTTACCATGATCTAACAGTACGAGGGAGGTACCACACCTTCTCTGCTACAGCTACTTACCGTGACCTGACAGTACGGGGGAGGTACCACCCCTTCTCTGCTACAGCTACTTACCGTGATCTAACAGTACGGGGGAGGTACCACCCCTTCTCTGCTACAGCTGCTTACCGTGATCTAACAGTACGGGGGAGGTGCATGCGGAGATCCTCTCCGTCATGTAGGTGTTCATAAAGCGGTGGATGCAGGCGAGCGAGTTGTTTGTCGTCATCGACAGCTCCTCGAGCTTCGACAGCCGATAATCGATCGTCTGCATCGTCAGCTTGATCGATCCCTCGCGATTGCCCATGTCCAACACGCGCGCACTCATGTTCTCAACCCTATGGAGGCAGGAAAGCACCGCGTCATCATCAATGGCATGCATGCGTGCATCCACACGTGCATCCCTACTTGTATACCAATATGTAATCATCACCTTGTGTACTTATTAAGAACCAATGCATGTGTAATAGGTGATTTAACATTAATTATCTGCACGTTAAAGTCTACCATTCCTTATAATAATAATTTATTAGAGAAAACCATGACATCAAAGCAAAACAAATAAATCCCTCTTCCCCAGAAATGGCATTTAATCACCACGTTTACCAATCTATTCGAGTTAATTAGACCAATTCATCTTTAACGCAGTGGCGTAAGGTTTCATACATCAAAGGAATTGATTACATGCCAGACTAGGTAAGACTGGCTGTTAAGAAACGCTGATAGCAGTGTAAGACGAATTTAATGGTAAGAGATATCGATTATTTGTGTTTTTTGCACTGTAGAGCCTAAAGAGAAAAGCTATAATCAATGTGCACAGTTAGTTAGTTGGATTGACATACCATTAATGCAGAATAGAGTATCTAAACTGCTGCTCTGCGTGTCATGACAACGATTCAATCACTTACCTTTCATTAATGAGACCTATCCGCTCTTCCTGTGAGTTGAGCTGACTCATTGCTCTCTCACGGAACAGGTCTTCCAAACACTCCTCCTCAAAGTCGTGTACCTTCTCCACATCTTCCTCATCAAGAAATAGCTCTGCAATGGCGCAAATGTTTCTTTCAGCGAAATGCAAGACATTTTATATCTAGTTCAATTAGGAGATAAGAATTCGCAAGGATATAAAGAAGAGGTCTGAACGGTAGGATACTATCAGGAACACGCAATATTAACACTGATATTGTTCCTACTATGTACTCCCAATGCTATGATTAAAATAAATCCAGTATGTATAATTTATTCAACATTAAAATGTATAACCACAGATCTATTCCGATTGAAGGGCTTCTATTTGCAATTTATTTGTAAATGAAAGTGTCAATGACACTGCAGCTCACCACAAAAAAGGACACAAATGAGTGAGTGAGAAGAAGTCAGTTTTAATTGAGCAACCATCGACGTACATTATAGAAACAAAGAGTATATATGGGAGAACTCCCATTATATACTCTTGATAATTATGTGTAATTTTTTATGTGAAAATAAATGTTTGAGATGTGAGTCTGAGATGTGGGCGAGTGATGGTGTTACACCTAAATGATCGCCATTTAACGTTTTTATAATATTCAGATTTAGGCACTGCCTAAAAGCGGCCCGATGTGTAACGTGTAAGATTGAGAGGATATGCTTATTTCACGTAGCTGCTATATACCACGTGACAATGGTGTTTCCCTGCCCATAACACAACTGTTCAAAGGTTAATTGGTTGCATGGAAGTGTTTACTTCATATGAGTTTTTCTAGGCAGTAGCACACGGTTGCCATCTGTATATCGCAATAATAATTTATAAACCAAAATGAATCACAATTTGTGACGGTAGATGGCGCTATACCCGCTTTGATGTTTCTTAGCGATGGCGTTCGAAATAAATAGGTTATGCTGCGTTCCGACATGTTTTGTAAAACTTTACTCTAATATAGACGTTTTATCGGCAGGGTGGAGAGGAAATACCAATTTTGCATTAAAGATATTGTCAATGAAATCTTGTAAAATGAACCAGACGAGTGTGACACCACAGACTGTTATCTGCGTGTCTATAACATAATATGCAATATAATTGCCAAAACCTACCTAATTTGCATAATATTTTTTTAAATATCAAAACCCCTGGCCCTTATTCATTCACATACCAAAAAAGAGCAAAATCCGTTGAACCTGAACTGACCAATGGCAATTCCCATTTTTGCCAAAATATTGCCGTGGCTCGAAAGTACGTCGACTGGCGTGCTCCAAAATAGGACGTTCAATATGGGAGCATAGCAGTAACAACTATACCCAATTTCAAACATGTGGGTCAAACAGTTCCTGAGTTATCGTTGACCGTAGCCAAATGTTGACGGAAAGACGGACTGACAGACGTACGACGGACGACGACCCATGGCAATAGCTCATCTTGACGATGTCAGGGTGAGCTAAAAATCACGAATGGTTTTTAATAATGACTAATTAAACCTACTTATAATTAAACCCATGTGAATACACGTTGATGATCAAACTTGTTGGAATTCAATGGTTTTCCGTGTAGAATGTTAAGGATGATGCAGTCAGGTGAGTGATCATCAGTGACGGCCACGTTTATTGCTTAATTTCGCTTTTAATGTATTTATTAATTCAATGCACACTGTGCGCATTACAGGTGCTATTCCAGCACATACTTAGGCTACAGTCGAATGCTGTCTTCTGTCCCTTATAGCGTCGGTTGCAGTACTTGACGAGCTGGTACATGTGGCAGAGTATGATGAGAGGGGGCGCCAGCACTGGCCGTTGTTCATACTCGAGGATCACGCTGTAGCGCTGAAACTTCCACACTTGCTGTGCAACAGCATTCACCTTTGTGAAGGTTGAACTGCAATGGCACAGATTATGTCATCAGACATCAAAGAAAAGCATGAAAGAGCCACCAACACTGAATCTACAACACTGATCAACATACACTTTGGATCTCAAGCAGAGCACCAATCTGTCTCATTTCTACGTATAAATAAGTTGGGCAAATTACGCAGACGTCAAAAAATAAGAATTTCACTGGTTGATTAATAAAATAAATTTTGATTATTTTTTACAATTAATTAGAAAACAATTGTGCAGAAGGTTCGGGTCACTCACTTGAACCGGGCAATGAGTAGGTTGACTAGAAGCACGTTGGTCACTAGGAGGTAGGTGGCCATCACTGCAGGAACGATCCACTGACCGGGGACACACGACGGAAGAGGCCGCCCATCCTCTCCTAGTGTGCCCTCCTCTCCACACTCAGCTGCAAGCAGAGGCACAGAATTATGTCAGTATTGGTCGTGTACTCTCAAACATGTACATAAGGGTCACTTGAACATGTTGAAGGAAATCAGGAAAAGCCTTCGAAGAGTATCATGTATAGGGAAAACCTTTCTATAGAGGTGGCTTCACTACGTGATTGCTATGCTAGGGAAACGTCGAAATCGTCCTATATAGACAGGTGTCTATTCTTTAGATGTGACTAATAGCACAGATTTGACTATAGGGAGAATGAGTGGTGACGTAGAACGTTTCGAATGTACTAAAAACACAACTGATTAACAACTCAAAAGGAATATTTACCTAAAACGTTTCGAGGACAGCATCTAAATACACAGTCAATGTATGTATCGCTGAGGCTAACATGCAACTGGTAAGAAGGGCCAAGGAGTATGAGAAATGGGGCATCGAAGAAACACAGGCGATAACAGTATTATGTGCTAACAGTGAATCCCGGGTTGAGAACGAGCGAGTGAATAGTAGACGTACGGTTGATGTCGCCAGCAAACACCTCCCCGTAGATCATCCAGTAAGGCTGGTAGAAGACGTCGCGTGCGAGCGTCCAGCTCGGCGGCGAGTCCGGATATCTGATCGCCTGCCTCACGACGCCAAAGCTCATCAGCACGACGCACATGATGACGACGAACACGCACATGTCCACTACCTGTGCAACAACATACAACATGTAATACGCACATGTGCACTACCTGCGCAACAACATACAACATGTAACACACACATGTCCACTACTTGCGCAACAACATACAACATGTAACACACACATGTCCACTACCTGCGCAACAACATACAACATATAATACGCACATGTCCACTACCTGCGCAACAACATACAACATGTAATACGCACATGTGCACTACCTGCGCAACAACATACAACATGTATACGCACATGTCTGCTGCCTGTGCAAAAACATACAACATGTGGTACGTACATGTCCACTACCTGCGCAACAACATACAACATGTAATACACACATGTCCACTACCTGCGCAACAACATACAACATGTAATACGCACATGTCTGCTGCCTGTGCAACAACATACAACATGTAATACGCACATGTCTGCTGCCTGTGCAACAACATACAACATGTGGTACGTACATGTCCACTACCTGCGAAACAACATACAACATGTAATACGCACATGTCCACTACCTGCGTGACATGTGCGTATTACATGTTGTATGTTGTTTATGTTGTTGCACAGGCAGCAGACATGTGCGTATTACATGTTGTATGTTGTTGCGCAGGTAGTGGACATGTTCGTACCACATGTTGTATGTTGTTGCACAGGCAGCAGACATGTGCGTATTACATGTTGTATGTTGTTGCACAGGTAGTGGACATGTGCGTATTACATGTTGTATGTTGTTGCGCAGGTAGTGGACATGTGCGTATTACATGTTGTATGTTGTTGCGCAGGTAGTGGACATGTGTGTGTTACATGTTGTATGTTGTTGCGCAGGTAGTGGACATGTACGTACCACATGTTGTATGTTGTTGCACAGGCAGCAGACATGTGCGTATTACATGTTGTATGTTGTTGCGCAAGTAGTGGACATGTGCGTATTACATGTTGTATGATGTTGCGCAGGTAGTGGACATGTGTGTGTTACATGTTGTATGTTGTTGCACAGGCAGCAGACATGTGCGTATTACATGTTGTATGTTGTTGCGCAGGTAGTGGACATGTGCGTATTACATGTTGTATGTTGTTGCGCTGGTAGTGGACATGTGTGTGTTACATGTTGTATGTTGTTGCGCAGGTAGTGTGTACGTACCACATGTTGTATGTTGTTGCCCAGGCAGCAGACATGTGTGTATTACATGTTGTGTCTGCTACCTGCGCAACAACATACAACATGTAATACACACATGTCTGCTGCCTGCGCAACAACATACAACATGTAATACGCACATGTCTGCTGCCTGTGCAACAACATACAAGATGTGGTACGTACATGTCTGCTGCCTGTGCAACAACATACGCCACCTGCACAACAATATACAACATGTAATACGTATATGGCTACTACCTGTGCAACTATATACAGTGTTAAAAACGTGATGCACGCACGTGATGCATGCTTTACAGCCACTAGTGCAGCAACGTTTCAACACGTGATGTGTACACATCTGCCACCAGTACAGCAACACTTCAACACGTGATGTGTACATGTCTGCCACCAGTGCAGCAACACTTCAACACGTGATGTGTACGTCTGCCACCAGCGCAACAGCAGCAACACTTCAACACGTGATGTGTACATGTCTGCCTCCAGTGCAGTAACACTTCAACACGTGATGTGCGCATGTCTGCCACCAGTGCAGTAACACTTCAACACGTGATGTGTACGTCTGCCACCAGCGCTGCAGCAACACTTCAACACGTGATGTGCGCATGTCTGCCACCAGTGCAGTAACACTTCAACACGTGATGTGCGCATGTCTGCCACCAGTGTAGTAACACTTCAACACGTGATGTGCGCATGTCTGCCACCAGTGCAGTAACACTTCAACACGTGATGCAAGCATTATCAGCGTGATTCAACTGTTATATTATTTCAACTGCTATATTGTGTCACTCCATGTTAGATTAATTTGCTGAAGCCAGTGTCACTACATGTGAATTTTGAAATTAAGTCAGTTCTTTGATGACGAAAAGACGTTACAATTGCTGCCAATTACAATACCAACACAAATGCCAGCTCACCATTTTTCCTATCATTGTCACGTAAGGTCCCAAGTACTTGTTGATATTAAATATGTCCAGGATGCGAATATACCAGAAACCAACATTAAGACAATATATAACGCGGCCAGTAGTGTGTGTACTCGGATCCACTCTGAAAATACACAAAGCAAAAATGCTACCGGTAGAACATTCTTACAGCGACAACGAATCACGTGAACATAGATCACATGGAAAATAGGAAATTGCAAATTTCTGATATTTAAAACAGTATTAGCATTTAATTACACTCATGTAAATAGGTTTAATATTTAATAGTGATAATAATTTGGATGTTGATAATGTAATAGATTATAGCAATAGTTTGATTGACAGTTTAAGAACCTTACCGTAAACCGACGCCAATTGTAAATAATACCACAGCTAGACAGTCGAATATATTCCACTTTGAAATCAACCATACCCGTATTTTCTGAGCAAAATTTGTTGGCTCTGATTGGATTATCTACAGAAAAACAAGAAGTAGATTATAACATATGCCACAAACAATTTTACAAGTCAAAAACATACTACAATGAGTATATTTAAAACACCTGCATACATTAAATTCAGTTCTGTATTTGTTCGTGCATGTGTTTCGCTGGCATTACTATAGTGGAACTCTATGCCTCGTATGATACTGTAGAAAATGTCCGATGAAAATGCAAGTGTATTTCTGGATCATCACCTCTCTAATCTTTTCCAGACTGAGTGTCCACACATAGGCCATGACGTAGTATTCTAGCCAAGACGGGTCTGGCTCCATGCGCACCAGCACCGTGTAGTTAAACATAACCATGAAAATGAGATATGCAAACTGCAAAAAAACGAACACAGCCATTGCTGTAAAATTGGTATTTGCCGAAAGATACACACCAGGCCATCACGCACGAACAGCATTAGTTGCTGTTAGAATGATGCAAACGGCTGCACGCAATAACCAGAGGTACACAACCTTTAAACTAGACAGAGGGCACTCACAGAAAGTGCATACCTCCGCGAGCGTGTAACATGTATGTGTATAACAGCTGGCTCGCTGCTGGCTGCTGCTGGCTGCTGCTGACTGAATGCCCTAAGGCGAGCTGCTGCTGAATCGATCACGCGAACACTAGTGGCTACACACACACACACAAAGGCGAGCTGCTGCTGAATCGATTGCGCGAACACTAGTGGCTACACACACACACGAACAGACACACGCGAGCGATTGCATGACCTCCCTGCAACTCCGTTGCGCGGAGGTAACAACCATCAAGAAACAGAGGTCGTGTGATATAATGCCAGGCAATATTGATGCTGGGCCAAAGTGATGTCCTCCTTTCGTTTTGCCCCCCCCTCCTCACCTGCCTCTTACAATGTCCATTTCTTTCTACACTCCTAGCTACTTCTTCTGCATGGTCCCCACCCGCCTTTGTATACCCTAGCTTTCACATTTTTTCCCAGCTCTCTTTCTCATTTACGACTCCCTCCCCTAGCCTCTGCCCCTCTTCTCTTCCTCTTTCCATCCCTCCCTCTTCTCTCTTTCACTTTCTGTTCTTCCTAATCCCTCTACACACCCATTTCCCATGAGGCCGAAAAGGTCTAATAACAACAGACGACACAAGTAAGGACAGCAAGAGTTACTATACATAAGTGCCTTAACATGCTTGCTGTGACGAACATAAGTTACTATACAATCAACGACAACTCACTCGCGAACTAAAGTAACCTACACTAGAAAAAACTAAACTAAGGAACTAAACTAAGAAACTAAAGTAACCAGGCTTCACCTCAGCGTTGTGTGTGTTGCTCACACTCACCGTGTATATCCAGAGAGACATGATACCAGATTGCGTGGCACAGCTTTGCTGTTGATCCTGAGCGTTGCGCGCGGATAAGACGCGCAGTTCCGCGGGATATGCGCACGCGACCGCGGGGATGTTCAAGTATGAAGCATTGTCCGCAGTGGAGACGTGCGCCAAATTCGAGGCCCGGCGCACGTACGTCTCCACAGTGGTCAGCGGATGGTCTGTAGTTTTAGATAACACTGAAGACTTAGTTTGTTCTAAATAAGAACTATCGACAGCTAAATAAGAACTATCGACAGCTAAATAAGAGTAATATACAGACCTTTGAATTTCTTGACAGTCAGTCAAAGGGCTTATTGCGGGTCCATTATGCAGAGCTTCCAATTGAAATGGCCCATGAAATTGTCAAGTGGAATTGTGTTTTTCGGAACCCCAAAGAAAATGTCTCCCTCTTACATGCACCCCCTCCCTGATCAATCACGCATTCAGGCGTAAACAATAACAGAGATGAAATTGTGTTGAGTTTGTGGCTCTTGACGCACGTGCATTGGCGTACAAGACTGTTGAAAGCACAGGCCCTTGGAACGTCTCAATACAAATAAATATTCACACAATTTTTCACAATGATCGACCGCCTGTGTACAAAATAGGTGAACGTGTGTGATACATATACAGTTAGTACTTACTGTGACATATCCGTGAAGAACTGACACCACTAAATTGGTAAAATGTTCCATGCACCTTAAGAAATGCTGAGAAATTACGAGGTTATCATCGCAGAACTCCCGAACACCGTACGTCACAAAGCTATATGTAAACAAACACACGTGTTGCGAGGTGCCTGCCTCTGATATCCATTTCGAGGCCCGCTAAGCCAAGCATAAAGCGCATGGTGCAAGACGTCACACACACAGCTAGTACGTTCATTGCCTAAAACAATCGAGTAGCGCGATTAGGGATTTTCGGAATTATTTAATTTGAAGAAAAACTTCAATGTTCAATGAATGACGCACTCATTCACTTGCGACAGCGAGTGAAAATGCCGAAAATTTTCCACTTCGATGCGAAATGCATCGGCCGGGCATTTCATTATTTACGAAAAGTAAACAGGCTGGCGAAAGACAGTAGGTACAGTAACAGGTCACGTCGATGACGCCCCATTCATGCCCATCAACGGAGAAGGCGGGGGGGTGCTTATTCTGATTACGGAGATGCGAAAATGCGATAGAAGGACGTAGCGCAGTGCGCTAAACAGCGTGTTATTTTCGTATTTGTGCCAAACTCTATAGTAGGAAACCGTTCTAACATAGCAGAATGCCCTAGTTCCTGAGATTGGCGATTTGGTGGTCCAATGGGTCCCCACCTATAAAAATATAAAAGACTTGGTGTGGCATAGGCTGTGCATTGGAAGAACACAAAGTGTCAATCTCGCGCGCCTCGTCCATCATGGCGCGCATTCAGCGTCAGAAAGCAGTGTACATCACTCGCGTATTGCTCACACTCACGTACGTGTACATCCACAGACTTGTACATCATTGGCTATTGCTCACACTCACACGTGTACATCCAGAACTTGTACATCATGCGTAATTGCTGTCACACTGAACGACCGTCGTACATCCAAAGCCTTGTACATCATTGCGTAATTGCTCACTACTCAACACGTGTACATCCCAGACTTGTACATCCAATCCGGCGTATTGGCTCACACTCACCGTGTACATCCAGAATCATTGTACCATCATGGCGTATTGCTCACACTTCACCGTGTAGCATTCCACGAACGTTGTACATCATGCTATTCGCTCACAGACTCCACCGTGTACATCCAGAACTTGTACATCATGCGTATTGCTCACACTCACCGTGTACATCCAGAACTTGTACATCATGCGTATTGCTCACACTCACCGTGTACATCCAGAACTTGGTGATGGGCGACGTGTAGAACTCGTGCACCTTCTTGCCGAGCCGCAGCGGCGTTGGCTTCTTCTCCGTCAGCGTCTCGCTGAACCTGCACTCGTCGTGCGCCGACGTCTCGGGCGTCGCCACGCTGCTCAGTACAGTCTTCTCTGAGATGACTCCCTCCTGCCGACGAACGACAACGCGTAAGAGCCAACGACAGCGCGTTAGACCCGACGACAGCGCGTTAGAGCCGACGACAGCGCGTTAGAGCCGACGACAATGCGTTAGACCCGACGACAGCGCGTTAGAGCCGACGACAATGCGTTAGACTCGAAGACGACGACGCAGCTTCATGTGACGACGCATTAGACTCGACAACGACGACGCAGCTTCACGCGACGACGCGTTAGCGCCGACAACGACGACGCAGCTTCACGCGACGACGCGTTAGCGCCGACAACAACGACGCAGCTTCACGCGACGACGCGTTAGCGGCCCGACAAGCGATGACGCATGCTACACGGCGACGACGTGTTCACGCGCGACAAGCCGATGACGCATGCTCACTGCGACCACGCGTTAGCTCGCCGACAACCGATTGACCTCAGCTTCACGCACGACCGTTAGCGGCCGACAAGGGAACGATGAGCGGCAGCTTCACTGCGACGACGCGCATAAGCGCCGACAACTGACGGGAGCGTCAGCTCACGCGACGGACGCGTAGCGCGCGGACGAGACGGATGCCCGCAGCGTTCACGCAACGACGCCGTAGCGCGACAAACGACCCAGCAGCTCCACGCGTACGACGCGGTTAGCGCTGCGACACACAACGGACGCAGCTTCAGCGCGACGACGCGTTAGCGCCGACAACCGATGACGCAGCTTACGCGACGACCGCGTTAGCTGCCGACGAACGGACCGCGGGCAGCTCATCCGTCGGGGAGGCGAGCGTGTTAGCGGCGCGAACTCAACGACGCAGCTTCACGCGACGACGTATACTGCGCGCCGACCAACACGACGCAGCTTCCGCGACGTACGCGTTAGAGCGACAACGATGACGCCGCTCTCACCGCGACAGACGCCGTAGCGCCGACCACGAGACGCAGCTCACGCGGACGACGCTGTTAGCTGCGCGACTAACGGATGACGCCGCTCTCATTCGAGCGACGCGTTAGCGCCGACAACTAAGCGCCGCAGCTTCACGCTACGACAAGCGTTACGCCGACAAACAAACGACGTCAGCTTCACGCCGACGACTGCGTTAGCGCGCGACTAACCAACGACGGGCATGCTTCACGCAATCATACGCGTTAGCGCCGACAACGAGAGACGCCGCTTCACGGACGGACGACGTGTTAGCGCCGACAACAACGACGCAGCTTCACGCGACAACGCGTTAGCGCCGACAACAACGACGCAGCTTTCACGCGACAAGCGGTTAGCCGACCACAACGATGACGCAGGCTTCACGCGACGAACGCGTTAGCCGCCGACCATAGATGACGCAGCTTCACGGCGTACGGGACGCGTTAGCGCCCGCGACAAAGCCGGTATGACGCTAGCTTCCAGCGACGAAACGCGTTAGGCCGACAACGCTGACCAGCTTCACGCGACGACGCTCTAGCTGCCGACAACTGGATGACGCAGCTTCACGCGACGACGCGTTTAGCGCCGTTACAAACCGATGCCGCAGCTTCACAGCGAACGACGTTTAAGCGCCGATCAACGAACCGGCAGCTAGCCTCACGCGACGACGCGTTAGGCAGCCGACGACAACGCAGCTTCACGCGACGACGCGTTAGCGCCGACGACAACGCAGCTTCACGCGACGACGCGGTCAACCACAAACACTGATCCGTGGAGATCAGCGAGAATTTCAACCCCGCCAGGGAGCACACACAACCCCACCCCCCAGAAGGCGCATACCATGCAAACACTCAGTAGACAGTATCCCACCCCTCGAGGATAGAACACACCTGTCAACTGCACATGTGTAAGTGAATCGTAGCACGGGCTATTCTCATCCATCATGTCTATTCCTGAAATCACCTGTCGCCCTATCTTCGCTTAGCAGATCACATAATCACGTGAATGTGCAGTGAAACGGCCATAACTGCCACAAACGTGTATTACCTATACCTTACAGTTATGGTGGGGAAGATAAATATGTAGACAGTGCTCAGAATACGTTACGAGATGAGGGACTGAGTTCGGCCTAGAGTATATATATGGCCTAGAGTGCCATATTATTAATTTCACATGGTGACATACTGGTTTCTACCTACTATTCTGCAGATAAAATCAACGTTCATTTAGATGAAAGATATTTCGTATTAAAGGGGTATCAACCAAAGTTAACTCCTCTAAGCAGAAGATATCCATAAACCTACAATATTCAGGTCGAAGAAATGCAAAACTGAATAAGCAAACGAAACCGGAATCAAACAGGCAGATAGGAGAAATCATGCACTACTAGTTTTCGCTTCCACACGGTTACACAGCCACACGGAAGCAGTTAATGCCAACGAACAAGTGGGATGGCATTTGACGGCCGCGTCTAAAACGCACCAGCTTAAACTAAGAATCAACGGAAAAAATATTCAGTCGGCAAAAGATGATGATAATACGTCGGCACAAACATCCGCAGTACTAGCTGTTGAAGGATGTATGTCTTTTTAACCCTGTACGCGAAGCGAATATGACGAGTCAGCTATAAAAAAACATGCACGGCTTTAGGTATGCAGCTATTCATAATTACGTGTATACATCCTAAACACGCCTGACTACCACAAAGCTCAGCAACAAACCATGGGCAGAAACAGGAGGGTCCCCTTGCAAATCATACCACTTCACAACCATGAGTGGAAACTACTAGACTCACTCCATACAAGACTGAAACTCTGATACAAACGCCAACAGCCAAACCTCGCTGTAGGGGAGAGAAGAATTTTGACATGTCTTGAGTATATATACATTCTTAAGAATGCCACCTTTTTTTTTCACACTAGCCCACCTGTGCCCCCGCCCATGGGCTGTTCTAGCACTGCTTTTAACATTAGCGCTGGGGAAATCTGCCAAACACTCACACCGATACACACAGCAAATTCAACTCGCCTTCTTGTGACCATGGGAGTGAAATGTGGAAGCTACGCCCGCATTAGACGGGTTAGCTTCTGTATTTTTCCACTCCCATCCACCACTGTTGTCCTGCAACTGACTACTGGCTGACTGCAAAACGACAAATACACATGGGCGAGGCAATCACCATACCATCGCTGCTATAGAAACAGCGAGGCAGCAAGTGAGGACCTGTCATCGACATCTCGTTATTTCACCGGTAACTACACGCCGAGTTCTTTTTCTCCTTCTGACGAATTTGTCACGGATTTCTAAGACAAGAATTGAATGTAAAAACCGAAAATATCATTATTTTGCTACTTGTTAATAAAATCTATACACTCGTTGTCTTTTGTGCATGAATGTTAAAAATATCAACAGTAATTTGCTACTTTCTTGAATTTAAGGAGAAATTATGTACATGGAATCCTTGTAGGAGGCATTTTGACATGAGAAAGGTAATACCCTAACCCTAATGGTATACCTATTAGTAAACTAGTTTTTGTGTTATAATTCAATGAGTTGACTACGTCAGTTAACTACTTTAACCAAGCGAAATCAGGTACCGCACTAACCTGCACTTACTGACCATGCATATACACATATATGTGACAACAGGAAATAAACTGACACGACTGAACTTCCAAACATGCTACATAAAACATGAACAGATATAAGCGATTATTAAAAATCTGCATTGGCAGATTTGTGACATTTGTGTGCATTGCCCAAAAAACGCACGATTCAATGTGTAATTGCTAATTGTTAATTAATTAAAACGTTATTTTTATTCACTCCTGAACATATGTATAAAACTCTACATACACATGTTCCTGCGTATATTACATTTCCATCTACGTAAGTAAGCAGCCTTAGTAACTCATCAATAAATATTTAGGATATCTCCGTAGCATAAATTAATATTCAAATTCAGAAATGATTAGCAAGAAAAATGTGTAGACATAAACAAATTATGTACTCCCTTAATATACTCATCACCCTCTTATTTTATCTTCCTCTTTTTACAGCTAAATTTGATTAACAAACTTTTTTCTTCACTAATCAACTCATTAAGAGATTTTTAGTCTGCTATCATTTTTATTGTCCCATATTATAAACATTATTAACTCAGTACAATTAGAACGTTATCTCACTTATTAATTTTTACAGTTCATCACTAATGCCATTCTATCCGGCAGTGAGTGCTTGCGATTTCTTCCCAAATCCAGGCAGCACACTAACCACACTTCTCTCATTATCGACACCTACTTCATCCATCAGGTCCTCTGGGTTTTGGCTGCTCGCCTCAGAGGAAGTAGAGTCCTCCTCCAGCTCCAGGTGCTCCTCCTCTGTCTGTGGCATCAGCTGCAGCTCCTCTCTTGTCTTGAACTCGAGCATGAGGATTGTGGGAGGCATGAGCAGTCCCAGCACGACCTGTACCACAAGAGTTGAAGAGACCCCATTAGCACAACCATTACCAATGCGTCCTACATTCTTGTCACAAGCGCACGTTAAGCCTAGCACAGACTTGCAACTTTTTCATGTGACTGGGCTGCCGATCAGCCGAGTCACATGAGAAATCGCTAGGTCTGCGGGAACGTGCAACTGCGATTCTGGTCGCTTGCATTGTTTGATTTTCAGCAACTCGTCGCTCCGAAATCGGTGCCGGGTAGCTCTAGTACTATAGCCCGCGTACAGTTGCCGCAGGGCTATAGAACATTCTATTACGAATGCTAGGGACCAACCCGCTGGTGGTGACTGGCACTGCTGCAGCACCACCAAAAATTGCCATTTGAAGTTCGTAAATATAATGTTCGTTCACAAGAAATACTGCAAGCAGACCATTTCAACGATAGTTAGAGGTTAAATTTTAGTAGCTGATATAACTTAAAGGAACAGTAGCCTCTAGGTTCTAGGGTTATTTTCAGCTAATTTA